ATGGGATATAAAGACTGGATAATAAAAACAAAAATTAGATGCTCATAGTAATTCTGTTTAATCTGTATGCTTCTCGCCAGATGGAATGACTTTAGCATCTGGTAGTAATGATAAGTCGATCCGTTTATGGAATGTTTAAACTGGATAATAAAAAGCAAAATTATATGGGCATACTAGTTAGGTCTGGTCAGTATGCTTCTCGCCAGATGGAATGACTTTAGCATCTGGTAGTCATGATAAGTCTATTCGTTTATGGGATGTTAAGAATAGAAAGTAACAAAACAAATTAGATTCCTTAAATAGTACTGTATTTTCAGTATGCTTCTCACACGATAGAACTACTATAGCCTCTAGTAGTAATAATGACTCTATCAATTTATGGGATGTTAAAACAGGATCATAAAAATCCAAGTTGGATGGTCTTAATGGACCTGCCTATTAGTTATCCTTCTCGCCAGATGGTACTACTTTAGCTTGCGATAGTGGTGATAACTCCATCCGTTTTTGGGATGTTAATAAAGGAAAAGAAATTCTTCCTTCAAATAAATGTTATTAGGAAGTCTTAACGAAATTTCAAACTCCTATATTTTAAAACAATCCTCTTCCAGACAGTGGTATTTAATCATATTTTATATAGTTACTTATTATCCTTTTCTTATAATCTCATAATAAATGAGCCTAGAAGCATAAGGAGCTTTAATTCTTTAAGGAGAATTTGTGAATTAAGCAGGCATAGATTTAAAAACTTTATTAAGTTAAAAAGGAAGTTACTTCTTTGAAAGTAAATAAGAAAATATACAAATAAAGAAAAATTGATAATTATTGAAAAAGCACAAATATATCTATATACAGTTATTTTTTTATTACTTATGTATTTCACAGATATGCTCTTCATATGTAAAATAAAAAAAGATATTGAATGTGAGTTTGCTGAAGATTGTGGAGATTTCCCAATAATGAGTTCGCGCTTCAGAAGTAGTTTCCCAGCAGTCACATAATATTAGATAAGTGTTTTGGGTTTGTTAAAATTATTACTCTTATATTTTTCTTTTTATGTCTATTTTTATAATTATAAACTGCTTTTTTATTTATATAATTTTATATTCTAATATATTGATTATTAATGTATTATTTTCACAATTAAGTGATTTATTAATTCTATATTCTTCAAGATTCAAGCTATGTTGTAGTTCGTATGATTTAAAATTTGTTGATTTTGCTTCTATTGGTTTTCTATAACATTTTGTTTTTGTCTTACCTTTAATTCAAAGATAATTTTGATTCATAATATGAAACTTAATATAAAAGTAATAGAAATTCAATAATATTTTTTTAAAAAAAGAAATGGAATAGAAGCAAGATTTGTACAATTTGTTAGCTTCATTAAAAGATGTGGACTAATCAATATACAAGGTGACAATTAAAATTATGAGAAAAGAAAACATTTCAGACTGTTTAAAATTTCTTTCAGATGAAGAAAATCTCAGACGTTGTTTATTGTCCATTTTAAACTAAATGATTAAAACAAATTTGGATTAAGAGGATATGGTAAAAAATTAAATGAAGACAATGATAGATTTTTTGAAATATGTTAAAGACCATAACTTTAATAATCAAAATTATTGTGAAGACTTCAATGAAGAATTTAGAAAAGATCTAATTAAAAAAATATCAAATGATGATTAAATAGTCTAATTATTAAAATTTTTAGTTTAACTCACAACTGTTGATGAAAAATTTATTTAATGTGGGTCAAATGGACTTAGTTTATTAGTAGGACTGAAAGTTGATTTAACATACCATAACTTTACAGACATTCGGATCAAAAATAGTAGTTTGATTGGCGGAAATTTTTTTAGATGCAATTTTAGTGGATCTTAATTTGAAAATGTTGATATCAGTAGAGTTAATCTAAATGGAGCAATTTTGTTAAATTGTAAGTGGAAGAACATTAAAATATACTAACTGAATTAATTAAAAAGTCATACTAGTACTGTTCGGTCAGGATGCTTCTCCCCAGATGGAATTACTTTAGCATCAGGTAGTAATGATAACTCAATTCGTTTATGGGATGTTAAGAAAGGAT